TGGGGGCGGTAGCCCCCCCAGTTTTTTGGGCAGTCGGGCAATATTCGATTAACAGTCGGGCAATTTTGGGTTGTTATAAAAAAAAATCGGACAAATTCTGTCAATTTTTTCGAAAATTTAGTAAATTTTGTGGCAAATGTAGAAAATTTAGTAAATTTATGTGATGCTCCGAAAAATTTTGGTATGTCCGGAAAATTTTTTTGACCCCTTAAATGGTACACTGACCGAAAATTTTTTGGCGACGGGGGGGGGCCTTAAATGGTACACTGACCGAAAATTTTTTGGCGACGGGGGGGGGGTGGAGGTCGCCAAAATAAATTTTCCGGAAAAAAATTTTTGGTACTAGTCGGGCACAATCAGGAAAAGTCGGGCAATTTTACGAAAAGTCGGGCAATTTTCTTTCCGCCCCCCTAATTTTTTCCTTCCGGTACGCCCATGGACAAGATCATGTATATATGTCGATGAAACTGATCAACAACAGTACGTCCATTTAAGGTAATTCCGCAGTAATTGTTCCCGAAATGAGAATGTGCTGAAACTTCCCAGGCATGGAGTTATGATATACTTAAAGTAAAATCACACAAAAAAGTCGGGGTCACCGAACTCGTTAAGAACATATGACAATCACAATATACCACCTTTACCCCCAATATGGCGCCATCTTGACGCTCATTACGAGTGACAGCAAACTCACAACAGTCCGATATTTATTAACGTTTTTAGCGCGGATTTTGCTTTAGTAAACCTATCTTGTAATTATTTTTGAAAAAATATTGTGTTTTGAGCAAAATGAAACTACTAACGTATACAATTCTGATCCAAAAATGTCTTTTCCACATTTCTTTACATATCTTTCTTTGAGAATATGCATTGATAAAGCATTTTTTTTCAAGATCCAGAAATGATTTTTCTTTTAATTCGGATATGAAATGTAAAATGCATTAAAGAAATAAATTATCAGTTAAAAAACGGGGGTCACCGATCTTTTTAGGGAATTGTGGCATTAAAACGTGAAATTAATAAATAAATATACTACAGACACAGTGAACCCTAGCTACACTTTTGTATGCCTTTTTTGAAAACATTGATTTTAACGTAATTCTTTGCACGAATGTAACCAAAGATGTTTTGAAGTAACATAACATTGTCATAAAATGATATTTTTTTAAACGGTACGTACATGGATGAAGTTATAAATTATAAGATGTGCGCAGTAAAAGTGCGCAATGCAAAACTGCGGAATTACCTTAAAAACGATTTTACTGTAACCAAGTCCGCCAAAGGAGAACGAAAACTGTCCTAGTGATTGCGAGACATGTAAACTGACTTGCACATCTATAATCGATGTCTAATGAAGAACGTTATTTACAAAATTCAATGCTCAACCTGCGGAACCGCATACATTGGCGAAACAGGAAGAACAAAATAGGGTCCAGAATTGAGGAGCATTTGACAACGGAAAAGCAGATGATGTATTTATAAACATAACTTGGACTATCCTACATGCAAATATTAGAAACAACGAAGAAAGGTTGTCCCCGAGCAAAGCGGAAATGTCGAATACGAGCGAGAAAGGCTTGCTGGAAATCGCTAAAAAATTAATGAATTTTTTGAAATAGCTGTATATATTGATTATTGAGGCATTTGAAATACAAAACCACTAGCCCCGGTTAGATTTAATAGCATGTAGTAAAACACTGACTACCAGAACACCGGAACACCACCGGAACACCACCTAACCCTAACCCCAACCCTAACCCCCAACCCTAACCCTAACCCCAAACCCTAACCCCAAACAAAATGGTGGTGTTCCAGTGTTCCGGTGGTGTTCCAGTGTTCCGGTGGTGTTCCAGTGTTCCGGTGGTGTTCCAGTGTTCCGGTGGTGTTCCAGTGTTCGGGTAGTCAGTGTTTTACTACATGCCAGATTTAATATAGTCGTAAAATCTCCAGTAGCTCTGGATCAACTTGGCTGCTGCCGTCTTTCTTCGACTGTTGTGATCTACAACGGGTATAAGTATAAGAAAATATTTAAAACTGGTAAATGATAGATTGATTTTATGGCCCGGGCCATGGTAAATGATAAATTGATTTTATGGCCCCATTGCTGAGATGTAATTCTCCGTATTGAGTTTTTAGCCTGCAAGAAAGTTTTGGCTAAAGCATGTAGGCCAACCATTAATTTTCCAAACTTGCGCGCACCTGCGTTCTTGGCCAAGACCAAGTTTCAATTATTTATCTTCATTTAGTTCAAATGAATGAATGCGGTTGCTTAATTTGAAGAACACTAAGCAAAGCAAACCAAAGCAAAGCAAAGTAAAGTAAACATAATTTTATTTTATATTAAGAAAGAGTAATTTTTCACCAAACCGATTTATGTTAATATCGTCCTTATACAAAGTGAATGTAGTGTGTTAACAATCTCCATAGGCAATTGGCCAATCGTGTTCCCAATAGTGCTTCATTTTCTGCCTACAATATTCTTATCTCGTCCCACGCTTTTTCTTTTCCGTGGCTTGTTGAGTTCCAACCTTCACGTGCTGATTTTGCTGTACCGAATAATTCACCTCTTCGCCTTTTACACACAACGTGCATTCCACACACCAGATATGTGCATGCCTCCACACTCTATTTTGCAATACCAAAATGTGAACTAAGTTCTTGCTGTCAGGTTCCCATCTTTTCATCTTGAACCAATTTCCTAATGCTGCGTACATCAGACTTAGCTTTGGTGTAAAATCCATCCAAGTAGTTTTCCATAGCCTCGAGTTTTGATTCGATATCTTTGTGTGAATTTTCGACTTTATATTTGCTTAAATCGTTATTTGGCATCGTCTCGTGTGTCACACTGTGACGAAGCATATTCTCGGAAAATGACTCATCTCCTTTGCGGCTAGTATTATCAGGGTGAGGGAAATAGACATGGTTTGTTAAAGAATAGCTTGGATCCGACTGTGATCTAGTTTTGCTGTGATATTCACTTCTAGGTTTGTGATTTACCTGCAAAAAAAAATGGCATGAATATAATAAAATAATTATAAGATAAAATAATGTTAACATACCTAATTGGGTGTTTAGCCAATTGCTTCCCGAGTCTATTTTTACAAAACGAATCCTAACCCGTCCTGTCATGTAACATTCCCTTTGAGAGGAAGCCGAAGTATACCCCTATGAGAACTCAGAGGTAAAGGCGGTTAGTCTGAAGATTAAACTACCGACTGATAGATGGAGCATCGAAAGAGCCTCTAAAATCCCCCTACCTGTCAACTGAGACGAACTATGTCAGGTTAAAAGGCAATCCATTAACTAAGAAGACCAAGGTATAAAGTCACCGCGCGTAATCTGCAGTCAGATACATACATTTCAGCCAGGGCCGTCGCGAAGAGGCTTAAGAAAGGGGATATTATATTTGCCGACAAACGGCGCTAGACTTATTTAATTTTTTCCCGCTAATTAATATTATTTCCCCAAAATGTTTGGCGGAGAGGGGAAGAGGATCACAGCTTAACTTAAAAATTATTTGTATTTCCTTGTTGTTTCCGTAAGTTACCCCATATTTTAGCTATAACTCTTAGTTTTTAATCATTTTCACTCATATATTTCAGTTCGTATCCTATCCAATCCTGACCGGTAAATCAATAGTTTACTTTCTTCCCCTTTCCCTTCCCTTTCCCCTTGACGTCGACGTGGGAAGGAGGGAAGAAAAAATTTGACTAGACGAACAATGTAAAAATCGCCGACAAAATCCTTCATTTTACCGACAAGATGTTTTCCGGAGGGTGTCGCACCCCCAATACGCCCCCCAGCGACGGCCCTGATTTCAGCATTACATTTCTCACATACCTCATCTTCTTCGTAAATCGTGCTTTCCTTTACGAGTTCTTTCTTAATTTGTGGCGGCGGTCTTCTGCCATGAGTTTGACCATATCCTATCCTATTGAGAGTAAACTGAATCTTGTCTACGGCTCGAGCAACGTCAGTTACCATCATGGCGATGTCATCAGCTATGAACTCTTTGTACCAGTGATCAGCTAAAACATCAATTATTATTACATTCGTTATTACAATTGCTCCAGCAATGGGTTATATAAATTTTCCAATAATGGGTTTTAAATGATTTTTAAATTTTGCTTTCCTAAAGTATACAGGCGGTCGAAGGTGCAGCCATTTTGTCGTATCAATGGCATAACCGCATACGTTCATAGCGTTCAATAATCGATCGTTATTCGAATTCTACCTGTTTACGTCAGTGCAATAATTTTTACTCATATTGCATCATTGATGTAACAACTGCATAATTATTTAGTCAACCATTGAGTTTATATAACGACTTCACCGCGTTGGATGTTAGCTGATCAAAAATCAAGAATACTTCCAAATAATTGGTAATGTGAATTATTGCATCAAAGAAGGCAATTTGGTTTAACTAAACCATGATTACAATTTTCAAGAATTTCCTGCATTAGGGGATGTACCGCTGACAACCCATACAACTACTATGTTTTATTCAGATAAATTATGAGCAAATGATTATAATGAAATGAAAGATAAATTACGATCAAAATGCAAAGCAAAAGAAAATGATCAACTAGATATTTCAGCGGTTAATTTGGATCGAAATCCAAATCAAACCCCTTTCCACCCCAAATCCAGTTGTGAATTTTACTTCTACGACTTTTTGCTAACACGCAGATCGTGAAATACTCATACAATTAATTTTCTTGTGTTCCCTCCACTCATGAAGATTGGTGTACAAATGATTTTTTAACTTCTTTAAACGAGCAATCTGTCGCATGCGTTTCCAAGCCAACTGTTCACGGTTAGATTTAATATAGCTGTAAAATCTCCAGTAACTCTGGATCAACTTGGCTGCTGCCGTCTTTCTTCGACTGTTGTGATCTACAATGGGTATAAGTAAGAAAATATTTAAAACTGGTAAATGATAAATTGATTTTATGGCTCCATTGCTGAGATGAACACCATATTGAGTTTTTAGCCTGCAAGAAAGTTTTGGCTAAAGCGGTTCAACCGTTGATTTTCTATAGACTTGCACGCACCTGCGTTCTTGACCAAGTTTTAATTATTTATCTTCATTTAGTTCAAATGAATGAATATGGTTGCTTAATTTGCTCTGTGAATTTTCAATTTACTTATGGATAAGCTAAGAGTAAATATCTTATAAATAAGAATTGAACTCTGGAAGAGATTCCAGATCTAGCTTAGAAGTTGGATCTAGCTTCTTCAGAATATAAACAGGTAGGCAATTTGTCGACGCTGACCAAAAATAGCGGCCCATTTCTTCTTTGAGTTTCCATTTTCGCGTCGAAAAGCAAAAATATAGACTTTCGGAGAATATTTTAGCTGTTTACTATCATATATGTTTGTGAAACAGTTAATAATCTCACTGAGGAAGGCCAACGGTTTCTGAAAAGCTAAAGTACGTCGAAATCAACTTTGGAATAGACTATATTTTCACCGGGGAAACATGAACAAAATGGATATTTACATCAACACTAAATTTTGCTGGTGCCTACAGAGCTAGTTGGATTAAAACAGATGTTAAGAAGTAAGTGAAAATGTGAACTTTGTGAATTATACTTTCATTAAAATGTTTCAGAAGCAGCCTAGACCTAGGCCTTCTAGTCTTATTTATATTTTTTAGTATTCAGCGGTTTTTCACATGAAAAGACTGGGACTAGGTGATTTGGGGGCGGGGCGGCGGGGCGGAGGAAGCAAGTCAGGCTTGTGTCCTTCCTCCGCCCCGCCCCCAAATTACCTAGTCCCAGTCTTTTCATGTGAAAAAGCGCTGAATATTAAAAAATATAAATAAAAATAGAAGGCCTAGGTCTAGGCTGTTTCAGAAGGTTTGCTAATGTCAAACTACGCGTGTGACAGAGCTGTCCGTATACCCATATCTCAATGTTTATGTTGAAATGACCTATCTTCTTTGAGGTATAGCTTAAAATTTAGGGTATGCTCATCACTTGAAACTAGCTTTAAATCAAAGTTTTATCTATAGTCTTTATATTAGAATTAAAATCATTCATGGGAAAAATGTGCCAAAGGGTTGAAATTGCCCTTGTAAATGTACACTATTTTTGACATGCTTGGGTTAGTATTTTGAAAAGGTGTTCTAGAAGGAAAATATGTCTTCAACAATACTGGTTGAGCCTTAAATTATAACTAGTGTTATGTAAATCACAGAAAATTGAAAAAAATCTTGTCCATACACAATATTTTGGACCCTATGAGGTCCCGAATGGGGCTTATTTCAATGTTGGATCTGTTTACCATTGCCATGCTCTTATCGTAGCATAACTTAACTTATTTTAGTGAATTTGTTAAAGAGTTGTGTTCACTATATGCTTGTAATATCTAAGATTTTTTCATAGCATTATATGATAAATTTAAGTTCTGTTTTCTTTTATTTTTAGGTGATAGTATCTATTCACTCCAGTGTTGGTATCAAATTTTGGACAAGTTTCAATTATTATTTCACATTCCTTTATTCAAATATCCAAATAAATGGAATATGACATCAAGCTGGAGGACTAGATCCTGTTTTCAAACTTGTTTTTGTAAAAATAGAAAATAACAACTTATTCTGTGTTGTTCTAATAAAAACCATTGTTTTTGATATGCATATATTTTAATTTTATTCTTTGTTAAAATGTGTACTTGGAATACTGAAATCTTTCAAATCAGCTAACAATACCTTTATAACTTATATAGCCAAGTGTTCCATCTATTTTTGTTCAGATTAAACAAAATATAATGGGTAAAATATTAGATAAAAATTTTTCAAAAAATATGAGCTTGCCTGTTTTCAAAGCATAAAAAGCAATAAAATAAAGCAAAAGTACTTATTTTTTATTTAAAACCTTTGGAATGCACAGCTTAATGTTTTCCACGAAATATTACAAAGTTTTCGTTCATTAAAATGTTGTTTTATCAGCTTTAAAACCAGATAAATCCTCGAACCACTCTTGATATATGTCGCCATATTGATTTTCTGCGCGCATGCTCAGACAAATTGCCTACCTGTTCAGAATATTTAACAGTTATTCTACGAACTCGAGTCGAATATGAGCTGATAGCCGATGAGGCGCGTAGCGCCGAATCGGCTATCGCTCATATTCGACGAGAGTGAGTGGAATAACTGTTTTATTATATACACAAGGTCTGAATTCACAGACTTTGCTTTTCGAATATTTTCAATATTTTTCTATTTTGTTTTTGTTTTTATCTTCGCTCTTTCGGCCGATTATTTTTTCAAAAATATATATTTTTAACCATTTCAAATATTAAAAATTTATTTGCTAACCTGAAAACAATTTGTGGGAGTTTTTTCATTGTGTTTTTAATCCTGTGAAGGCTATAAAAAGCGACAACTTGCCGTTTTCTCGTTTGCAAAACATCGTAAATTCAGTTTGGCCGCCATTTTGTTTTTCTCTACTAGCAGGATATGAGCTAATATCCTGCTAGTAGAGAACCAATCAGATTGCAGAATACCTCATATCCAGACCTTGTGTATATAATAAATACTATTAGAATACATCAGAATACGTCTCATCTCAACTATATCCTTATTGGGCGATTACTTCATTATACAAAAATACAATGAGCTCAATCACCATAACCGTGCACAAATTAACATAAACTCAAACAAAAACATAATACAATGACTTTTGTTAAGTTTCCGGACCATCATATCTTGATAGACTATGGATTATCATATCTTTATAGACTATCATATCTTGATAGACTATGGATTATCATATCTTTATAGACTATCATATCTTGATAGACTATGGACTATCATATCTTGATAGACTATGGACCATCATATCTTGATAGACTATGGACCATCATATCTTGATAGACTATGGACTATCATATCTTGATAGACTATGGACCATCATATCTTGATAGACTATGGACTATCATATCTTTATAGACTATGGACTATCATATCTTGATAGACTATGGACTATCATATCTTGATAGACTATGGACTATCATATATTTATAGATTCAGGCTCCGACTCCGTGCATCTCTTATACTGGAGCCATCATTCATTCATTATTGTAAAAAGTTAGAAAATAGAAACAGCACCGATGTCTTCATTTGACTGTGCGTTAGCATTTACCCTACCTGCATTTTCCAGGTGAGCCAATATTCGCTTCTCACTTTGACTCAGTTGCAATGTCTCATGTATAACCGAAATCAACAAGGCCATAAGAAATATACCGAGAACTGACATTAATCCTGCAATAAACCGACCAACAAGAGTCACTGGCACTACGTCGCCATATCCAAGCGTTGTCATGGTAACAATAACCATCCATGTTGAATCCTAGGCAAACAGGAAAATATGAGAAAATGGATAATCATGATTTGTTTTTCTCACGAAAGTAACGGAAGTACAATATTTCCACATATATATGAAATATTTAAATAAATATTTCATATACAATGTTCATTGGAATTTCATTAACAAAATTCTGTTCAGCACAGCATTTTCCCATACAAATCCTAAAAATTTCCAATCTTAAATTGAATTCAATTACTTCAATATTTCATATAATAAACTGCAAACTTGCACTTTTATTAATATTGAGATGCTCTTCATTTCTGGGGCTCATTTTGACGAGTTGCTCGTTTTCGGGTAAATGCAGTCACGTGACCAATTGTTGTAAAAGGCCCATTTAGCAACATTATTACTCAGATCCCTAATTGTTCTTACTGTACATATGTTGTCAACCATGCATCATACATTTAATGGATCATAATTGAAGTTGTCTTATAGGATTCTGAAAAAGATCTTAGATCGTTCTGCATTTACTCAACTTTTAGTTGGAAAATTATTTCCGTCAAATTTGTTCTTTCATGTTCAGAATGAGTGGGAATCTTTTCGAAAACGCAAATAACCTTGGGCTGCACGATGCTTAATTTGCCTTCCTCATACTGTTATTTAATTTGAGGAAATGTATGAAATTCAATCTCCTTTCACACTGCCCTTATACATAGAAAACAGGGCTATTCTAAATTTGCCGCAACTTTTTCGTTCAATTAACAGTTGACTACAATCATGGAAATTAATTCGTAGACTTTTCAAAAATTACTCAATTTCCCCCCCTCCCCGTTTACAATGTTGGTTTGAGGTCCAATAACCATGGTTTGAACCAACATTGTGGTAGGGGAGGGGGGGAGTTACTATTTCTAGCGATCATGGACGTTTGTATTAACTAAAAATAAAATGGCTTTACAAAATAGTCGACAAGATGCGTTTTAAAAAAGTCTACGGATATTATTTCCATGATTGTCTAAATTTAAAGACAAAAATTGCGTGGGGATATTTGGAGGCGCGGTGTATAAATCCTCATTAAAGCTCTAAAGCATGGTAGATTCTACATGTTATATTGAATACTTATGGTTTACTTGATAAGAGTTCATGGTATTACAGAGAGATAATCAAGAAACTTACATCATACACAGTCTGCTTTTACTTCAACGGGAAATCTCTTCAAATAATATAATAGCTCGAGTTAGGTAATAAAGACTCTTTCAAGCATACACCCAAGGTTTTAACGAAAGATTTAATAAATGATCCACTGCTCCATACAATTAGCCTGTATTTACAAAACGTAATTCTGCGTAATGACTGATGTATATAATATTTGAAAGTTAATAATTAAAAGTTAATAACTAACGCATTGTCGTATATTTTATGAGGGGGATTCAATTTTTTTTCCATCAACCGAAATGTTGGAGGTAATAGACCTAACTGATTGCTGTGACCATTTCACTAATCTCTATATATTACATATAGGACAAGTTACTGCATGTTACTACATGTTACTGTTCATGTTACTATAAGTGTACTACATTTTTACCATATAATTCTTTAAATAAATTCTTCGTATGGTACCACGTGTTAGTGTACATGCTACTGCACATGTTCCAATCAATTTACTATATTTTACTACATAATTTCAACAAGTTACTACATGTTACTGCTGTTTTCTATAAAAATGGAAGCATGTACTTTATATAAAAAACAGCAGTAACATGTAGTAACATGTTAAAATTTTCAACATGTTGCTATGTGTTACTGCTGTACATTATATAAAGTATACATACTTCAATAACTATAAAAAAAACATCAGTAACTTGTTCAAATTATATAGTAAAATATAATATATACATAGTAACATGTGCAGTAACATGTACAGTAACATGTGGTAACATGTGCAGTCCCTATTTAAAATTTGTTTATATCATATCTCACACTCTTCCTTCTATGATAATTATAACGATTTACTGTTACAACGAAATAAGCACTACTCTGTTACACAAGGGTTACCGAACGGGGTATGTTGTATTGTGACCCCCCCCCCCCCACCCACTTCTTAGAAATCTTGTCGGCAAAATGGAGATTATGTAGGAAAAACCGTGACCTGTTGGCAAATTAGTTGGTAAAATAGAGTTGGTTGGTAAGGCGAAGAGGATGTAGAGGAACACCCCCACCTCCCTCGATCCCGCTTTGGGTCGCTATGGTCTCTGTACGTCACTGCTGTTACAGTTGACATCAACAAATAGGACAGTATTACACTTTCCCTAATAAGATATATTCATAGAAAAATTGCATGTCTTGTTATGCAGATTATTATTACCACACAAACTTCAACCGCATAAATGAAATGAAATTTTGGATATAATTTAGCTGTAGCAGCAACGATTATATAAATAAATTGATACGGTTAGATGTATATGTAAACTTCAAATATATTTCAAGGAACTCGAAGGCAAACTTGATGTCATAACTTACTTAACCGATATTGAAACGGTCAAAATTAAACACTTTGAGGTATCCCGTCGCTAAACAGTTTGCCCACACCCCCCTGAAGCTCCCCCCGGCAAAAAAATTACACAGCAACCTTGCACAAGGTAAATAAAGTAATTTCAGTCAAAAAGAGAATCAGGTTTTATAATATAGTAACCTTTGTTCTGGGTCGAAAATGACTAAGTGCCATACTTTTATAGACAATCATGGAAATTAATTCGTAGACTTTTCAAAAATCTCCCAATTTCCCCCCCTCCCCGTTTACAATGTTGGTTTGTGGTCCAATAACCATGGTTTGAACCAACATTGTGGTAGGGGGAGGGGGGGAGTTACTATTTCTAGCGATCATGGACGTTTGTATTAACTAAAAATAAAATGGCTTTACAAAATAGTAAGGCAAGATGCGTTTTAAAAAAGTCTACGGATATTATTTCCATGATTGTCTAAATTTAAAGACAAAAATTGCGGGGGGATATTTGGAGACGCGGTGTATAAATCCTCATTAAAGCTCTAAAGCATGGCAGATTCTACATGTTATATTGAATATTTATGGTTTACTTGATAAGAGTTCATGGTATTACAGAGAGATAATCAAGAAACTTACATCATACACAGTCTGCTTTTACTTCAACGGGAAATCTCTTCAAATAATATAATAGCTCGAGTTAGGTAATAAAGACTCTTTCAAGCATACACCCAAGGTTTTAACGAAAGATTTAATAAATGATCCACTGCTCCATACAATTAGCCTGTATTTACAAAACGTAATTCTGCGTAATGACTGATGTATATAATATTTGAAAGTTAATAATTAAAAGTTAATAACCAACGCATTGTCGTATATTTTATGAGGGGGATTCAATTTTTTTTCCATCAACCGAAATGTTGGAGGTAATAGACCTAACTGATTGCTGTGACCATTTCACTAATCTCTGTATATTACATATAGGACAAGTTACTGCATGTTACTACATGTTACTGTTCATGTTACTATAAGTGTACTACATTTTTACCATATAATTCTTTAAATAAATTCTTCGTATGGTACCCCGTGTTAGTGTACATGCTACTGCACATGTTCCAATCAATTTACTATATTTTACTACATAATTTCAACAAGTTACTACATGTTACTGCTGTTTTCTATAAAAATGGAAGCATGTACTTTATATAAAAAACAGCAGTAACATGTTCAAATTATATAGTAAAATATAATATATACATAGTAACATGTGCAGTAACATGTACAGTAACATGTGGTAACATGTGCAGTCCCTATTTAAAATTTGTTTATATCATATCTCACACTCTCCCTTCTATGATAATTATAAAGATTTACTGTTACAACGAAATAAGCACTACTCTGTTACACAAGGGTTACCGAACGGGGTATGTTGTATTGTGACACCCCCCCCCCCCACCCACTTCTTAGAAATCTTGTCGGCAAAATGGAGATTATGTAGGAAAAACCGTGACCTGTTGGGAAATTAGTTGGTAAAATAGAGTTGGTTGGTAAGGCGAAGAGGATGTAGAGGAACCCCCCCACCTCCCTCGATCCCGCTTTGGGTCGCTATGGTCTCTGTACGTCACTGCTGTTACAGTTGACATCAACAAATAGGACAGTATTACACTTTCCCTAATAAGATATATTCATAGAAAAATTGCATGTCTTGTTATGCAGATTATTATTACCACACAAACTTCAACCGCATAAATGAAATGAAATTTTGGATATAATTTAGCTGTAGCAGCAACGATTATATAAATAAATTGATACGGTTAGATGTATATGTAAACTTCAAATATATTTCAAGGAACTCGAAGGCAAACTTGATGTCATAACGTACTTAACCGATATTGAAACGGTCAAAATTAAACACTTTGAGGTATCCCGTCGCTAAACAGTTTGCCCACACCCCCCTGAAGCTCCCCCCGGCAAAAAAATTACACAGCAACCTTGCACAAGGTAAATAAAGTAATTTCAGTCAAAAAGAGAATCAGGTTTTATAATATAGTAACCTTTGTTCTGGGTCGAAAATGACTAAGTGCCATACTTTTATAGACAATCATGGAAATTAATTCGTAGACTTTTCAAAAATTGCTCAATTTCCCCCCCTCCCCGTTTACAATGTTGGTTTGAGGTCCAATAACCATGGTTTGAACCAACATTGTGGTAGGGGAGGGGGGGGGGGTTACTATTTCTAGCGATCATGGACGTTTGTATTAACTAAAAATAAAATGGCTTTACAAAATAGTCAGACAAGATGCGTTTTAAAAAAGTCTACGGATATTATTTCCATGATTGTCTAAATTTAAAGACAAAAATTGCGGGGGGATATTTGGAGACGCGGTGTATAAATCCTCATTAAAGCTCTAAAGCATGGCAGATTCTACATGTTATATTGAATATTTATGGTTTACTTGATAAGAGTTCATGGTATTACAGAGAGATAATCAAGAAACTTACATCATACACAGTCTGCTTTTACTTCAACGGGAAATCTCTTCAAATAATATAATAGCTCGATTTAGGTAATAAAGACTCTTTCAAGCATATACCCAAGGTTTTAACGAAAGATTTAATAAATGATCCACTGCTCCATACAATTAGCCTGTATTTACAAAACGTAATTCTGCGTAATGACTGATGTATATAATATTTGAAAGTTAATAATTAAAAGTTAATAACTAACGCATTGTCGTATATTTTATGAGGGGGATTCAATTTTTTTCCGTCAACCGAAATGTTGGAGGTAATAGACCTAACTGATTGCTGTGACTATTTCACTAATCTCTATATATTACATATAGGACAAGTTACTGCATGTTACTACATGTTACTTTTCATGTTACTATAAGTGTACTACATTTTTACCATATAATTCTTTAAATAAATTCTTCGTATGGTACCACGTGTTAGTGTACATGCTACTGCACATGTTCCAATCAATTTAATATATTTTACTACATAATTTCAACAAGTTACTACATGTTACTGCTGTTTTCTATAAAAATGGAAGCATGTACTTTATATAAAAAACAGCAGTAACATGTAGTAACATGTTAAAATTTTCAACATGTTGCTATGTGTTACTGCTGTACATTATATAAAGTATACACACTTCAATAACTATAAACAAAACATCAGTAACTTGTTCAAATTATATAGTAAAATATAATATATACATAGTAACATGTGCAGTAACATGTACAGTAACATGTGGTAACATGTGCAGTCCCTATTTAAAATTTGTTTATATCATATCTCACACTCTCCCTTCTATGATAATTATAAAGATTTACTGTTACAACGAAATAAGCACTACTCTGTTACACAAGGGTTACCGAACGGGGTATGTTGTATTGTGACACCCCCCCCCCCCACCCACTTCTTAGAAATCTTGTCGGCAAAATGGAGATTATGTAGGAAAAACCGTGACCTGTTGGGAAATTAGTTGGTAAAATAGAGTTGGGTGGTAAGGCGAAGAGGATGTAGAGGAACACCCCCACCTCCCTCGATCCCGCTTTGGGTCGCTATGGTCTCTGTACGTCACTGCTGTTACAGTTGACATCAACAAATAGGACAGTATTACACTTTCCCTAATAAGATATATTTATAGAAAAATTGCATGTCTTGTTATGCAGATTATTATTACCACACAAACTTCAACCGCATAAATGAAATGAAATTTTTGATATAATTTAGCTGTAGCAGCAACGATTATATAAATAAATTGATACGGTTAGATGTATATGTAAACTTCAAATATATTTCAAGGAACTCGAAGGCAAACTTGATGTCATAACTTACTTAACCGATATTGAAACGGTCAAAATTAAACACTTTGAGGTATCCCGTCGCTAAACCGTTTGCCAACACCCCCCTAAAGCTCCCCCCGGCAAAAAGATTACACAGCAACCTTGCACAAGGTAAATAAAGTAATTTCAGTCAAAAAGAGAATCAGGTATTATAATATAGTAACCTTTGTTCTGGGTCGAAAATGACTAAGTGCCATACTTTTATAGACAATCATGGAAATTAATTCGTAGACTTTTCAAAAATTACTCAATTTCCCCCCCTCTCCGTTTACAATGTTGGTTTGAGGTCCAATAACCATGGTTTGAACCAACATTGTGGTAGGGGAGGGGGGGAGTTACTATTTCTAGCGATCATGGACGTTTGTATTAACTAAAAATAAAATGGCTTTACAAAATAGTCAGACAAGATGCGTTTTAAAAAAGTCTACGAATATTATTTCCATGATTGTAGTGACGTCACAACTCGAAATTTAGAAAGTGCGATAACTTGAGAATGAGATAAGATATGAAGAAACTGTAAACGTCATTCTTCATCGCTCTAGCAGTACTTTTTAGCAAAACAATAAAAAAATAAGGTGAAAATTTCGTTTCGTAAGCACTTTAATAGCTGATACGGCAATAAGTCACTAGCAAATCTGTCAAATGTGTGAGTGGCAACAAATCTGCATGTTTGCGCATGCTCTCAGTAAAGTTTGTGAAGCACTACAGGAAATTTAACGAGCATGTATTTCAAAATGGCTACAAATTAACATCAAACTTGCAGAGGAACTTTTAAGTCCCAGGCCACATGGACCAAAATCTAATCCCAGGTCGAAGCTGATTATATATTGAAATAGCATGATTCTCACTGTTGATAAGGCTAATACATACAAAGACCAGGTTACTTTTTCCTGGGACTTTCAGCGAGGGAGAAATTGATACAATGAGGCGCTAAAAAGTGAACAATCCAATATAGTATAACTCAGGAGTGCCTACAAACTACTTCAAATCAATATCAACTATATTTTAATATTTACGTTTAACTTAACGAGCTATAACGTTCTCAAAATGTAATTCGTTCAATAAATCAATTTTTACCGAATCATTAGACCATGCGGAATCATTAAGGCCCGTTTACACTTGCATTTTTTGCTGTGATTTCTAGTGCGATTGAACGAGTAAATAAGTTGTGAATGTTCTGAGTATATGTCTCACTAATTACCCTCATCTGAACATGCATAACTCATCCACTTGTTCGCCATCAATCAGACGAAGAGCAGCAGCACCTAAAATCGCAGCAGAAATTGCAAGTGTAAACGGGCATTTAAACTAATAACTATAATAACAGAAACATATCTAATATAAAATGTTTAGTTGTTAAAAGTCATTATTTCATGTTCAAAATGTTAAAACCTACGTACTAATTAAAGTTTCAACTGTTCCATGAAGTCTGCTGGCGTTTTCCAAAGCTCTTTCTGATTGTTCTGTACCAAAGGCATCAGCTGGGACAATAGATCCTGGTTGTTGGTTCGGATAGCGAGTGGTCAAATAATAATTACTAACGACAATGGCCATGTCGGTTATTTCAGCAGGTGAACCTCTTAGTCCACATACATGATACGCCAAGGAGTAAACATCGTGAGTGTGTAGTTGATCATCAGTTAGACCACACTTCCCATACAATGCTGCTTTTAAACTCTTTTCGACCACTTGGTGGCTCAAGAAACACACCAAAGCATCAAACGACTGGGATGGGGAGGAAAACAAAAGCTGCGCAGCTTCTAGATCGCGTTGGGCTTGTTTCAACCAACGTCTAGCTTCGGATAAATTGGGATAAGTATAACTGGATGGTGATGGCGTTGAACCACCAGAATTTGCTCTAAAGTTGCTGTATGTATCTCTCTCCCGTCTAGCCCGGCGATTCCAACCGGTGAACATCGTACTGAACTTGCAGCTATCATCAATATTCGATTCTTCAGCTTCCATTCGTTTGATCTCGCTCAGCAGAAACTTAAACATTTCTTCGGCAAATGCAACATTATCTGGATTCTTGTCGGGATGCCATCGAAGGTATAGACGTCGGATGACCTTTCGACGGAGCTTCTGTGGCAATCGCCATGCCTTGAGCAGGGCTTCCCGAATTTCCCGCTTCCCGTCATCAAGACTGCTTGGCATGATAGTGGGATCACCAGTGAATTGGATTAGATCAGTAGTGTGGTTCTCCGCAGCATCGTTTTGGACAAACTTGTACAAATCAACGACACTGACCTTCTTATGTGCATTCCCCAGATCTATCAAATATTCTGCAGTAAAATCATAAGAATCGTCACTTTCAGTTTCGTCAGTGCGGGAGATCACTTTCGCTAAAACAAATTTCATGATCATGAATCCGTCCTCAATTGCTTCTGCCATCTCATCTGTTTCGTTAGTCTCTATACCATAAGCCACAATCTCTCCTTCATGGAAAATAAACAACGGATTTTGTTGGAGGAGATAATGAAACACAACAGGAACTTCTTGACCAATCTTGAGTTCTTCATCAGAAAAGTCCTCAGCTATATTAAATTGATCTAAGATACCGGGAAGTTGGGATGGTGATTTACACAATAACATGCTTGAAATAACTGGTAGACAGGTCACGTCAAAAATCCAGCGTGCAATCCTATCGATACAGGAGGAGAGAGGAATCGCTTGGGTTTCTCCTGTGGTACGTTTGATGTAAAGTTTCCACGAACTGTTGTTTTCGTCAGCGTAGCATTGACGTGGGATGGAGCTGTTCTCGAGTGGCTGTTCTGTTTCAATGTCAACAAGATGTACGCTGATGTTACGCATACAAATAATTTCCAATTTATTTGTTCCAAATACAGATAATCGATCTTGCTCAACTTCAGTAAGCTCGGTGCATTTCTTTTTGTGTTTTAAAAGTCGTACAATGCACGACTGAAATTCAGGAGATTGTATGATGAGTATATATCTTTTAATAAACTCGCAAGGACAATCTTCTTGACACGAAGAACATTTGTCATTAAGACACTCTGGATCCAATACCTTTTTGAACAAATTATCCATTAACTTAGGACGTAAATGTCGCGGAAGAGCGTTTAGATATTCTTTTTCCTTCTCCCTCCGCAATTCACACTTTTCTAATGGGAGCAAAACTTTCAGATTTGTACGACTGGTCAAAGCTTTTCGAAAACTAGGGGCGATCTTGAAGATTAAATCACTTGATTTCACAAGAAATTCCCTTTCGCTTGGTAGAAAAAGTTCCCCTAGGTCACTTATTGTTGTTTGGTTCCCAGCGTGACTTTCACTAAGCAAGCTCCGAAAGAGTTCCCCCATCGCCGCTTTAGCCTTTTCGAAAAGATTAGGATTCATTTTCGTGTTGCTACATTTCTCTCTAATAGCTTGCAAGACATTGGCAAATTGAAGGGAGGTGAACTTCTCCGTCGCACCAAGTCGCTTCATCAAATGCTCGTAAGCGCAATACCTTCGAGGAACGGGATACAAAAACGGGATAAAGGAACAATCATTTTGGCTTCCAAAGGATAACTTATCACCTGCGACCACGACTTTTCCTTCTTCTACTAAGACACATGGAATTCTACTTAAACGTAAACCAATGCTTTGGCATTCAAGACTGCAACCATCTGAGATATTTTTGTTTTCGCCGCAGTCTAATTCCGTGTTTAAACTTTTATAAATGGACTCCATAATCTTCTTCAACAAAGCTGGTTGTGGCAATACTTCGTCTCTCCTACATATCTCTGCAAGTGTGCACGAGAAGTTTTGCAGGTGACTAACAATGCTCTCAACGGACGGTACCTCTTGAACTCCTAAGTAACGAAGTAATTCCTTACCAGGCTGTGCCCATGATGGAAGAAGTTGAGTGCTTGTCCATGTAAGAACGTGGTATTCCCAAGGAACAGCATCAAAAAACTGCACAAAAGGTGGTTGATCTGTTGCGGTATTGCACTGGAACTGCTTGTGTAACGAGAGAAGATTCGATTCCACTTTTGCGGATGCGATAAATCTAATACTTGAAAGGGAACACAAGAACGCTTCACTTCGGAGATGTTCGTTGTAGAATAGATAATTAACAAGTGCCTTTGATTTCGCCACATTTGTTAAGGGATCGAGAGATCCACACACTGCAACTTTTTCACAAAATTCCAGGAATTGGTTTTCTTCCACTCTTGTTTTCATCCCAATTTCAGACAAAAACTCCAGCCATTCAGGACGTTGGAAGGGAGGAGGTGGAAAATGGTTGGAATTATCTTCAAGCATTATTTGAAAGACTTCATTACGTGGGTCGTGAAATTCTCGAGCGTAGTGGAGGATATAATCTTCACCTGGTATACACAAGCTTCCAATTAAAAATTCTACGAATACTTTTCGAATTGAGCTCCCAACGGACAATAGCACGTCGTCCTTTATGTGTGTGAGGTATGAAATCTGGCTTTTTCGACTAAAAATGTTAAAACGCGGAATAATATATTTCCTATAAAACTCGGTAAGGCTGATTTCCACTCCGACACTAAGCCATTTGTAAAGTGGATTAAGAGCAGCTGCAGAACCTGGATGAAGGAACAGACATCTAGTATGAATCTGAAGTTTTGCTATTTCTGCTGTTGGAACACCGTTTGGAATTACAGCATAATAAGCATACTCTGATAAACTGAAGTGTGTGCCATCTATGCCCATGTAAAATGGCAAGTTCTTAAGGATAGTGGCGTCCTGTACTGTCAGATTGTCAAGATCATTTTGAACAAAACTTAACATTGTGCGCAAATCATCGGTGGTTAACTTCGAGGTATCAAGAGAACCCGTTCTTCTCATAAAATCAAGTACTTGAAGAACATCCCGGACATTGTGAGGTTGCGCTACATGCGGGTCGGTGACATGACTACTATCATCTGTAGGTGATGGTACATTAGGTGTACCAAATATTGGCAAAATTCGACCAAGTGTGGATGAAAAAAACCCGCCAGTTGGATTGGTTGATTTCTTTACTGTGATTTCTGTGTTTAATATGGAGCAATTTAACTTTTCCAAAATTTCGCGAATACGCTTTCCTTGCGCGGCATCTGTAGTGCGGTGAGTCGCATCAAGCACTGTCTTGCCGTTTTTGATCGTTACTAATTTATCACTGGTTGTGGGAATAATTGGCCAGACACCCAGAACTGACAAGGACACTTCAGTATTATTATTTAACTTAGGAATAGCGTATCTTTGCAAGAAGTACCAAAGGCGCTGGAACCACTCTCTTGACAACGGGCCATTCTGTGGAAACGTCCAGGGAAGATGTTCAGATGTGCCTCTCATGTGCTGAGGAAAGATGCCAGGAAAGTATTGGTCCAATGCCTGGACGGTAAACCGCCGCATTACCCGTTTTTCCGGAAGATTGTCGATTTCAGGTAGGTTGTATACAAGATCAGGGTGGACAAATAAATTTGCGTTTGCTGGAACGAGATCGCTGAATTTTGAACGGTAAACAGGGTTATTAGCGTCAAAAACTCTCAGTTGACCATCTGCAGTTAATAAAATTGGAAGCCCTTCCAGGAGATTTGGGAACTGCTCTTCTACTTTGCAATAGTCAATGAGCACTTTAAGGTCCAACAATTCTCTGACAATTGTTTTTTTCAAGTGTTTTGGAAGGTTTCCAACCTGACAATTTGATGTAGGAACAGAAAAGCTTCTAATGAAATTAATTACACTCATCGGCGCCAGAACATTACACGCTATTTCAGCTTGCTTAAACCAGTAGTACACCATTGTTGGGGAATAAAGCAGAAGTGGGAGATGCATTCGAAGCAGAAGTTTGAATAGTCGATCTTCATCCAGTTTCGTTTGACCTTTGCCTTCGAGGAAACAGGCATCTTTTACCGAAAGCCAGGAACGAATTTGATGGATAACATCATTTGAGGATTCATTCGGTGAAGTATTCACCTCGACGGGTTTATCATCTGCAACAACAACAGGCAAAACCTCCAGATTATTGGAACCCAAGTAACGATACACTTCTAGAGCCAAAATATTCCAGGGAGAATCTTTCGATGGAGTCGGGAAGAGTTGGTGGTACCATAAAAGCCCGCGCTGAACGTCTACGTTGTTCGCAAACGAGCACTTGCAACTGTCTTTCACCATTCCTTGAGAGAAAGGTATATATTTTCGAGCCTCGTAAATTAATGTGGCATATCCAGGTGCAAGAACGCTCATTTTCATAAAGTTGTTCCACTTAGTGAGCGGGCTGCTTTGATCAGTATCATTCCAAAGGTTTCTTCGGGAAGAATCAAGAGCAAAATGTCCGTTGACATGGACAGGTAAACCTGTGTAAACAGGAAGTGGCAGGAAACAATAGGCAACATGTTGGGGTTTGTATTCAGAACTTGAACGTTGTGGGGAAACTAGGGCAGCAATTCCACCGCGTGGAAAGAGACCGAACTGATGCCCATCAGGTATGGAGTCTTTTGACGCTTGGGATGATGTTCCACAACATTGATGAACGAGCCACGTTTCCACAGCTTTATCGGAATTCGAAATGGTCAATGGGTAAGTAACATTATGCCATGCAACATCACGAGTGGGAAGATGTTTGCTTCCTTTCACAATACGGGACAGCTCACGGCATTTTTCATCACTTTCTTTACTTAAATCAGCAATTACACTGCACGCTTCTTTCAGTTGACCATCCTTATCAACTTCAGATAATGAAATTTTCCTCACGTGATTAAGAAAAAGCAACATCTTCTTTGATTCGTCTTTGAACTTGCTAAGAAGCTCATTCATTTTGTAGTTTCCTACGAATATACCAGATATGAGGGACTCGCCAGATCTTTTCATCGTTCGTAAAGGAAGACGAAACATTGTAGCTCCTTTCAGGTTGAAATACTCTCCAAGGTAGCCAAGGAAAACATCTTTGAAATCCTCTTTAAATTCTTCGTTAATTGGTTGAAACTGTTCACCAGGGGAATCAGGTGTCGCTTCTGGGGCATATCGGCAGTGAGGGTCGAGGAAACATAAAGTATCTTCGTTGGACAGAAAACTCGGGCAATCTGTTAAATGGTATACTGCGTTGAATCCAATTCCATACTGACCTGTCTTCTCCGGATCATCAGTTTTGCTACCAATACCGAGTTTCTGTATTCCTTCAAGATCCTCTGGTGTGAATGGCTTGTTATTGTAAACGCAAAGGGCAGGTCCTTGAACTTCTTCAGCGTGATTCTGAATAACCTTTTCGTGCGGAAGCTTTCTTGTGTCGTAAATAAAGTGAATTTCGGTTGCTCCAGCATCGTCAGCGTTTTGAACAAGTTCTTTCAAGATTCCTGAATCACAGGGGTATGACTTGAGAATGTTCTTTAACCTGTCAGTGAGCTTTTCGTGTTGACCAAATGGAATTCCTATTGTCCTTGAGTATTTATTTAGTCGGCGATTTTGTAGCGACTTTGCTCCCAATTCTAGTGCCAGTTGAGGAGGAATGTCCCGATGCACGTAACGGGCATCACCACGATCTTTGAGCCAAAACGTGAGATTTATGGTAAGCTCTCCACTCATACACAACACGTTGTTGCAATCTGGTAAGGGAATATGACCAACTTGGGACGCTTCAATTTCAGCATCCTTCAAAGCCGTTGCAAAACACACAGTGAGTTTGATTTCATCATTATTCAATGGGCGACCTGTCTTCGTCTCCTTAAGAGATTTTAGTGCGTCGAT